GAAAAGGACACAACTGACAAATTTTAGTTGCTGCGGACCTTGCAACATGTTACTAAAACTTTATTTATGTTGATTGTAGATCTCTGTATTTGTCACTAGGTACCTAATGGTTTGAATGTTTATGCCAGCTTCTAAGTCTGTGCTATTTTGAAATGGATTTTTTTTTTTTGCTTTTTTTCAACAAAATTGTAACATGAAAAATGTGTCTAATGTTTCTTTATTTTATCACTAGTCTACCATCCTGTGCTTGGTAAACTACTTCTTGCTGCTGTGTTTGCAGAGGCTTACAGAGTTCTAGCCCCTGATATGAGTTACATACAAAACTTGTTATCGTTTGTTCTTCTGTTATGGTCCTTACCTATCTACATAAAGCTTTGCACAACCTTTCACACAGTCATTTTCAATTAATTGCACCATGGCTTAATTGTAAAGCTAGCTCAAGTCTTCTTAGCAGGCACAATTAAATGTTGTAAAACTTTTTCTTTACCTCATACAAAAGGAAGGGGCGTGGAGGTGAATTGCAAGATGCATTTGTTCCTGTCCTCCAGTAGATGCTGTCCCAGTCACCCAAACAGTTAATCCTCTAGGATAGCTTTCCACAGTTTTGGCTTGAGGAGAGTTTAAGTTGCCTGCTGTATTAAATAACTGCCAACTTTGTACTAGAGCACATGAGGTTGTCAGCCAAGCTAGGTAGATGGTTTTGTCTGGCATGTCTGCCTGGCCTGCTGAAATTCTGAGACAAAAAAGTATGCATTTTTTAGACCTGACAGTTAAAAGAGAGAAGGTGGAAGGACAAATAACTGTACTTGTCTCAACATCCTCAGCTTGATGTCTCAAATGTGACCAGTTTGGGGAAGAAACTTGCCTTTCCACCTTTCTGAAATGTCCAACATTCTCTAAATGTTTTGGAAAACGAGCGATGCTTTGAATTGGTCTAAAGCTGAGTACTCTAAAAATTACTTCCTAGGCAAGGGGGAAGGATCCTGGAGCTGCCTGGCTACCTGTCCCTTTGATCCAGAAGATGGCCGTCTGACACTTGGCAAATGCCCCATCTTCCATCCATCTGCTAGTTCTGCTCTTGCTGAACCTTTTCATCACAGGAGCCTTTGTGCATATGGGAGGAAGTATGTTGACGCAAACCAGAGTCAGACAGGCAAGACCATGTCTCTGGCAAGGAAAACCTTCTTTGTCTCCCAGCTCCTTCCCTTTGTCACATTTAAGGCAATTGCCAGCTGGGAAACAAAGTGAGGAAGAAGGACTAGGTGAAGAAGAGTGCTTTTTTTCTTTTTTCTTTTTTTTTTTTTTTTAAGCACTGTTCATTACACTTAGCTCCTGTTTAAAAATAAATAAATAAATTTGAAATTATAAGGAACCTTTGGGGTTTTGTATTTTTTTTGCATTTGTTTCTAGTTAACAATTACACAGCCACTTGGATAATCACAGGCCTAGCTCTATCCTGATGCAGCAAAAGGAAAGGTAGTTTTTGGCCCTGTTCATCTGATTTGCCACGTACCATTAAAGGAACTGTTCCTATAGGAGCTGCTGTGTGTCAAAAATTCAGACAGCTATTTAAAAAACAACAAAAATGAAGTGGATGGAGGTAGGGAGGCAGGAAAGTGTTCACTTCTGCTTTGACAGACTAGGATTGGGCATAAGTTACTGACTGACCACAATGCTTTTGAAGTGACATTTTCACTCTGCAAAAATTCCACCACAGGCTGTTGAAAACTAGATTTAGAAAGGGTTGTGAAGGAATAGGTAGAGAGAAACAGCATAAAACGCAGGTCAGAGTTCAGCTCTGTGTTGACTGCAGGTGGCTTTAGCTATTACTTTGTTCATTTTTCTGAGCCACTGTGCTTGAATTGCCCGCTGCCTGCAAGCAGGGGTCAGCGGCTTTTCTGAGCGTTTCTTTCGTCAGCTTCCAGTCTACCCTTTTTCTTTGGTTTCATGACAGTACCATGCTGTGGGAAGGGGATGCTTACATTCAGAGGCATAACTTGAGGCAGTCATGTATTTCATTCATATGCATGGCTCATCTGTAGGAGGCATGTCAAAGTTCAACAGACCAATTAAACTTCACCCCATGCTACATCTTTGCATTATTGCCCCAACACAAGAAATCCTGCAAAATAATTTGATTAAATTTTATTCACTACTGAAGCTTACAATGTCAACAGTGACCGTGACCAAAATAAGGATAAATTATTCCATGTCACACTTCGTCACACAGAACAATTAACTATTTTCATATTGCAGACAGAATCCTAAAAGTTTCAGTTGCATTAGCAATGCGGGCAGGGCTTTGAATCGAGTCTGAGCTGGGAGCTTGCTTCCTCCAGCACTCACTGTGTCAGACCGTCTTTGGATACTAGATGCGTTGCTACTATAAGTTGCCTTCTGTGAAAAGCTCTCTTTTGATGCTGCACAGGAGTTGATAGTGAATGGAAATATCAGTTTCTGTTGATGCGAGAGCAAATAGCAGAGCAGTCTGCTACGTGAAATTGTATTTCTCTGCACTTTTTTATGTGAGAATAAGTCCTCACCAATGTGACACATACGCCAAAATTGTATCTGTAGCTTTTTGGGCTGTTTTGACATCTTGTAGGCAGCTGGTCATCTCCACTCTTGAGATTAACAGCTATAGACCAAAGAGAGCATGGTAACATATAAGAAGCAGATATATTTTGTGGCATCTGCTTGAGTGTACTAACTGTCAAATATCGTTACTCTGTCAAGATGGTAAAACTTGGGGGTGATGGAGTCATGCAGATCACCTTAGAAGCTGATCTTGTGTTTATGCTGATAGTTATTTGTTCTGTGTGATGAGGTTTGACTTGAAATAATTTCTCTTATTATGGTCACTATTGACATTTTAAGCTTGCAAGTTGAGCTTTGTTGAATATCGGATACTGCTTTTGAAAGTAAGTCCAATTTTTATTGGTTTGGTTTTATTATAATGTAACAAAAAAAATCTTTTTTCCCTGTGGTATCTCCAACCTTTGCATTCTTATCTCATGCAACCCATTTTGCAACCCTGATATGCTGAAGCTGGTCTCAAATTAGGATTTGCCTATAATTTTCATGATTACCAATGTTAATCAACTAATATCTTGGGATTCTTTTAGGTTTCATACTTAAGACTGGTTCTGGTGTACTGCACAGCTTATTGAGGTTTTTTCCAGTTCTTTACATTTGCTGGGGTGAGCTGAGCTCTTTGAAGTTCTAAAGTACAGAGGTAGCAACTTTTCTGACGGCCTGTTAAAAAAACAAAGTTGAATGAAGTCCTGTGTGCTTATTTTCCTTATATCAAATACCATTTATGATACCTATATGTGTCTTCTGAACTACCTCGATAGAAATTACTGCCATGCTCGTTCTGCAAATAGACCATTTTATGAAAATGGGTAAATAGCTGAAAATAAACAGGTAAGCCTGACTACTGGATGAATAGACAGCAAAGCACAATTCATTTAGCTTAAGATAGAAATAAACTGAAGTAGAAGAAGTTGGAGAGAGAAGGAAGTCCTGATTGAAGATACATTTGGCCTTTGAACTTAAAATCTGTTACAGCCTTTATTCTCTTTTCTCTCTCTGTTCTCTTGTGCTAAGAATCACAGAATCATAGAATGGTTTGGGTTGGAAAAGACCTTAAAGACTATCTAGTTCCAACCCTCCTGCCATGGTCAGGGACACCTTCCACTAAATCAGGTTGCTCAAAGCCTCATCCAGTCTGGCCTTGAACACTTCCAGGGATGGGGCATCCACAACTTCTCTGGGCAACCTGTTCCAGTGGTTCACCACCCTCACTGTAAAAAATTCCTTCCTTATATCTAATCTAAATCTACCCTCTTTCAGTTTAAAACCGTTACCCCTTGTCCTATCACTATACTCCCTGATAAAGTCCCTCCCCATCTTTCCTGTAGGCCCCCTGTAAGTACTGGAAGGCTGCTATGAGGTCTCCCCAGAGCCTTCTCTTCTCTAGGCTAAACAACCCCAACTCTCTCAGCCTGTCCTCATATGGGAGGTGCTCCAGCCCCGAGTCATCTTCGTGGCCCTCCTCTGGACCACCTCGAGCAGATCCATATCTTATGCGGGGAGCCCCAGAGCTGGATGCAGTACTCCAGGTGGGTTCTCATGAGAGCAGAGTAGAGGGGCAGAATCACTTCGACTTGCTGGCCACGCTTCTTTTGATGCAGCCCAGGACATGGTTGGCTTGCTGGGCTGCAAGCGCATGTTGCTGGGTCATGTCCAGCTTTTCATCCACCAGTACGCCCAAGTCCTTCTCAGCAGGGCTGCTTTCAATCCACCCATTGCCCAGCCTGTATCCATGTTTGGGATTGCCCCAACCCAGGTGCGGGACCTTGCACTTGGCTTTGTTGAACTTCATGAGGTTCGCATGGGCCCTAGTCTATACTCATGACCATGGTGTACCTGTTTAGGTTTTTTGTACTAGGCTCTATTTTGCTGTTGTGTGGAATATGTATTTCCTATGGGTGATTTGAATCTTTAGGTTTGTTTACACTGAAATCACAGAAATGCAGCAAATTTAATTAGTTAAGATTGGGACTTGCATTACCTGGGCAATCTGTTGCCCAAGCTACCTTATTTTAGATTAGGTTAGGCATCAGTATACCTTCATTGATTACAACATATGGTCTAATATGTTGGTTAATTATATTTCATAACTGGGGAGGCTGGAATCTCTGCACTGGGGAGAAGTGAAAAATGTCAACACACAGACAGACTTCTGTATCTGTGTCAATAGTGTTGATATATGCTATGCTTTAGTTTTTGTTTTACTAAAAAGTAAGTCTTGCTTTGGGTTACAACAGGTTTGCATACATATATATTATCTGTAGGTAGCAATATAGGAAGTGCTGAGTTCCAATGTTAGGAAATGCAGAAAGAAGTACTTGTTTCTTGACCCTAATGTTTTCTTACTTAATATATTACACGGGAAAATAATAATGCTTTCTTCCTCTCCCTCTGGTTTTCTGTAGTGGACCAGATCTATCATCTAGCATCTCCTGCTTCGCCTCCAAATTACATGTATAATCCTATAAAAACATTAAAGACCAACACTATTGGGACATTAAACATGCTGGGTAAGTGGAAGTCTTTTTTCTTACTTAACTTGGTTAGACATAATATAACCTGGACAGAGTTACTGGAGGGAGAGGAGGGTAGAGCAGATAAGTTGAACGTTTTAAAAAGTTGATTCTTTAAGAAAAATAAGGGGGTTTTTTTCCCTTCTTTGAAGATTTTTGTACTTTAAATATATCTGCAGATGAACTCTGACAACATGCAAGCTCAGCTATCAAAGCACAAGTACTTCATGCCTGTAACTATGGAGTAATATGGAGTAATATGGAGGCTATGGAGTAATAACTGCAGTATTTATAGAAATCATAGGAACAGTTAAGAGCATGGGATTTTTATAGCAAAGTTGTGTCTGTGACCGCACTTCTCACCTTGGTGACTGTGGAACATTCCCACGTTTGCCATGAGTGACTGTTCCTTTCCACCACAGCAAACATTGAACTAGGTGGAACTGCATTGGCTCTGTAAACCCCGAATATCAAGAGCACTGCACCCTCTTGTGCATGCCTTGGCTAGCAAATTCTGCAAGAACGTTTAATGTCTAGCTTCATGCTAGATAATTACAAGGCAACATTTTCAGCTTTGTCTGTTGGTTTTGATGCTGGGAATGTGCCTATGAAAAGAAGGCCTCAAGCCTTCACTACTTTTTCCTCCCATCTTTGATCCATTTGGCATATGCTGCAGCTTGAACTGGGTGTCAGTGATCCTAAGTTATTAGGAGGCAAAAAAACGACTGGGCATTAGCTCAGCTGAGTTTCTCATTTGAGTGATACACTAGTGAGTACAATTCAGGGAAGTGATTTAGAAGCTATTGAGATACCAGACAGTTGTACGGCATAGATTAGAGATTTCTTCGAAGGCCAGAAAGTCATTGAAATGGAGTGCAGAATAATCTTGAGTGATGGGTAGGATCATCCAGGCTGTTTAAAGGCGCATAATAAAGGAGAATGATTGATTTTGTCCTGTAACATGTTATTCTATATCAGTTTCTTTATGTAGCTTGTCTTTAAGTTTTGCTAATCATAATATGTTGTGTTGTTTCAAGATCCTGATTTCATAACTGGAATGGTTTATGCTTACTTGGCCTTTATTTAGGGTGTAATATATATTAAGTTCTTGGATCTTGGTTCAGTGTAACTTTTAGTCCCAGAAGCAAACACATCACATGTGAGTGCTGCTCTGCCATTTCTCAATTCTAGCTTGGGAGTGGGAGCTATGGCTGTGATTTACAGCTAGATTTATCTAGTAAGAGAAATCGAATTCTCTTTAAAAACATGTAAAATGGGATCACATTAAAGCAGTTAACATGACTGAAAGATTCTTGAACTTGATCTAATTACATTCTTCTTTCCCTGCCCGAAATTTAGGGTTAGCCAAACGTGTTGGAGCACGGCTGCTGCTGGCCTCTACATCAGAGGTATATGGAGGTAAGAAGGATAAAACAGTGTTTAGAGCTCTTGAGATGTGACTGTGTAAAAGGGTATTTACAAACCTTTTGTTGGATGTTTGATAGATTTGCATCACTCTCTTAGCTTGATTTCTTTATTAGATGTACTTCTCACAGCTTAAAATGTTGGCATTAGTACTTGCTTTAAATCTCTAGTCAGAGTGGTAGAAGGAGCTCATACTTTGTAACTTTCCTATGTCTTAGTTTATGGCTCTTTTTCAAAAGGGCTTGTGGGAGAATTTTGAGTGTTGAACTTTGATTAAAATCCAGATGCCTTGATGAAACCTGTGAAGAAAGATAATTTCAGTAGCAAATCTGCTTCTGTCTTCCCCAGAAGATTTAGCAATCGCCCTAGTGTGTGCAGCACAGCGCAAGAGACAAGGACATGACCTCCAAGCTAAGAAAACAGTGATTGTGCATGCATGCCTTGTGGTGTCTTTTAAAACACCGAGCAATGGTGCCGTACCTCTCCTTCTTCCTTTTGCTGTTACTAAGAAGTGAAGTAGCGAGAGAATGACTGATAGAACTGCTAGCTGGAGAATCTTTAGTACTTCCTTGGGGTGTGTGACAGACCATGTGCCTTCTAACAAAACTTGCTGCTTTTGTAAACTCTTGCCTAATTGATAATAGCAGTGTTGCAAGGTTAATGGAGATACGCAGGCACAGCACCTGCTCAACATTAGTAGTTATGAGAGTCTAGGCTTTAAAAAAACAAACAAAGAAACAAAAAATACTCATCTCTGTAACAAGATGCAAAGCTTTGTGAGGAAAAAGTGAGGAAGGACAAAAAACATACCTCAAGGAGTACACTTTTGGTGGAATAACTTCAGTCAAGAAGATTCAAGGCAAATACCCAAGCAAGAGATCCACTAAGATGACTGGGCAACCAAATAAGTGGCTTGAGCATGTACAGCATTCCTACTGCCTCTCTTGCCTTTGATTATCCACGGTCAGGCTCCACAGAGAAAAATGGTAGCCCCAAGGACTCTTCTGTAGTTGAACAAACTCCCTTCTGGAGCAGGGGACCAACAGGCAAAAACAACCCAAGTTTTGGAGGCTCATTGCTTTGCTACAGTCTGCATGCTGAAGTGGAAAACTTGAAACTCCCATTATCAGGCTTTGTTGTGTCAGTAAAGCCAGTGGAGAGAGTCTACTCATATCATACTCTGACTAAACAAAGTCATTTTGCTGAAAAATAAAGGTCAGAAAATAAAGTCAGAAAATATTTGTTAGCTGTTTCCACAGAAGTTCTCAAAGTAGTGTTGTATAGAGAGCTTCCAAGTACTCTGTAAGGCTGCCTCTGCCAGAAAGGAGACAGAAGCTGAAGTGGCCTTCCAGATCGCAGCACCTTCTAGGGCCCTTTTAAGAATGCTGTAGGCTTTTGTAATCATGTAAAACCTCTCTGTATTTGTCATTGCTCTGTGGCTCTCATACGGCAGGAATTCATCTGTAATCATGAGTGAGCAGTATAAAAACTGGAAGGGTTGATCAGAACTGACCATCAACGTTGTTTCAAAAACTAAACTGCAACACTTGAAAGTTCAGTGGTAATGTATGCAATCTTCAAACCCAGTAAGGAGGGTAAGACAGCACAGATAGCAAAGTGGGGAAATGTAACAAAGTGATTGTATTGTTTCAAGTATATAGAGTGAACATATGCGCGCACACAGAGCTTCCTAGGAGATTTTTGGTTGGTTGGTTTATTTTGTAATCAAGAGCTTCGGTACTGGATCAAACCAAAGGATTGTCTAACCTGATTGATTGTGCCTAGTAATAGCTAGTAAAAATGCTTAGGATAAAACAGAAGAAACATAGCAAGTACGTTGTGGTACATCACTCTACTCTTTCTTCTTTAAGAAATGTAGTACTTCTCCATTTTGTCCATTTTTCTTTCCTTGTTTCTTATTTTATAAAACTTGAAGATGCTTTACTTTCTTTTTTTGCAAATAGAGTAAAAAGTGCTGCCTACATGACTTACAATATTTTCTCTGAATTACATTAATAAGAGTCTTATTTTTTCCCTTGAAGTAGTCTGTCTTTGCAGAGGAGAGTTGAATTTAACCCTCTGTTCGCACATTCTTTTAGGAGAAAGCAGATGATGGCTGTGTTTGCTTGTACTCAGTTATCTTACTGGAGACTCACATCTTCCGTAACTGTCATTTTCATGGTTCAAGTGAATACACTTTTAAGGAATGGTGTTGAAACTTAATATCTTTTAAAATGCATAGTTCAGAGAGAAACTATTAAACTGTATAACACCAGTGATCTACTGAAAGATTCATTATATATAGTCACCTTTTCGATAGAAGATCATTTAAGGTGGTTTTTTTCCCCTGTAGATCCTGAAGTTCACCCTCAGAATGAGGATTACTGGGGCCATGTGAATCCAATAGGTCCAAGAGCCTGCTATGATGAAGGAAAGCGGGTTGCAGAGACCATGTGCTATGCATACATGAAGCAGGTATTAAACTTGTATCAGATTCAATGGATTTTCTGTAATTATGAAGGCCAAATGTGTGGCAAAACTGGAATATGTGTATTTAGGGGTAGAGGGCAAAAGAGAGTATCTTGAGTAGGAACGTTCATACTGTAGCTGCAAAATCTGTTTTCTTTAAGGTAAAGAAAAGTTTTATTGCTCCTATCTGTTGTGTTTTTTCAGATGAGCAGTGTTCTTCAAGAAAATGTGCTTTAGTCTTCTTGATAGACGTATTATGTCTTTCATTATTGTAAATAGTTTTTAGACAGATTAAACTGAGGTGACCTTACTAATTTGGGAGCCAGATAACAGAGTTGTTTTAAGTTGGTCCTGTGCTGAGAAGTGCTTTGCTGAATAGGGCCATTACTGATAAACATGGAATGTTTAATGAGCATAATTGAAATCAGAATATACAGGTAAAAATTAGGAAGTTCTTTAATGAGTACTCGTATAGGAGGAATGTATTTTAAATCACTTTAGAAATGTCTTAAAATTATGTAGGTATAAATACAGCCCTTAAGGAAAGAGATGAATACTCAGCTATGTCATGCACTTTTTCAGACAAATACAGTAACATGAGGATAAAAATGCAATTTAAAATATGTTTGTGAAATGATACATGCCAGTTTCTGTGGGTTTTATAATCAACAAGTAGAAACTCATTAACTAACCTAGCATCGACTCTTTACCTGTATGTGAATCTTACCTTATTTAATTGCTGTTCAGCTAGTCTCTGGGAGACTATTTGATTAGAAAATGTGGCACACTAAAGAAAATCATATCACTGTTTCTTGGTGTTTGCAGCCTTAATATACAAAGGTATAAATCAATCAAATGTAGTATATTCTGTAGAATTTTAAACCTTTAAATAATAAAATACTAAGGGCTTTTAAAAACCTTGAAAACAGAATTAAACTTAAGTGGTAAGACTTTAGGGATGGTATTTTAGTACAGAGGTTGTAGTAATTTTCTCTTATCTCTTCTGCCAAACAGAGAAGGCAGAGGATCGTGTCTCCTTTGTTCTTTTTTAAATCATTTAAGGTACAATATGGGGGTACTGCTCTTGTTCAGGATGATGCCTTCTATACTTAACTGTAGAAAAATATGCCTCGTGGGTCTGGAAATCCGTTCACAGTTGAATGTTGTAGTTTTTATGAGAAATTCTTGTGCTGTAGGGTATTGAATTTTTTGCAAGTTTGTGGTACACACTGCAGTATTCTTTTAGAAGGGCAAGACTGTAGGTCATTTGAAAATCATGGGCTGTATCTTAAAGCCACAGGATGAGTCATGATACTATCCCATAAATTTTATGCAGTATTTACAAAGGATAGTAAAGGTTTGTAAGGTAGAACTGCGATGCACACATACATTAAGTGAAAACTCATGATGCAAATGAGCTCTCTGTCCTAGGGGCAGCTCTGTGAGGTCTTATACTTTATTATGGGTTAGTGAAGTCTGCCCTAGCTTGTCCCACATTCAGGTATATTCTGAAACACTGTTGAGCTTTTTTGCCCCCAGAACTTAGATGATACACTGTTATTAGTGGAGGAAACATTATCTTTTGCTAGTGGAAAAATCTGACTACTGCTAGGAAAGTAAGTATTGTGCTTTTAAGAGGGTTTTCAGACAGGAGTTACCTAGCCCAAAACAATTGGATTTACAGGATTTCGGGCTAAAATGTTTCCAGAATCTTCTCAGCTTCAATAAAAAGAAGAAACAAGCAAATTTATTTCTGCCTTTTTGGGTCATTTCTTCCAGAGTTTTCCATCATCATGCACATAGTTAGGTACCTTATATATCTAATCACATTTCCAAAAAATATAAAAATTAACTTCTACATTATACTTCCAGACAGGTTGTTTGAATCAGAACCGGTCTTGAATCTAGTCAAAGATTATGACTCTTTATTCACAGTTGTCAGAGTTCCTCAGTAGGCTGTTCTGACCAAGACCTTTTTGGTGCACTCTTTCTGCTGGCAGCATTGTTTTGTTCACTTATTTTGATCCTATGAATTAAGCATTTCTTGATTTTCTCTCCTGTTTACAAATGCTGTCTTTAAACAAGCCCAGCAGTACTTCCTTATCAAAGAGTCCAAGGGCAGTAGTAGCATTCAGTAATATAGAAGCATCTGCTTGAAAGGAGAGGCTGGAGAAATGCAGGGCTCACAAATTCAGAGCATGTACCTGAGCTCATCTCATCCTGTGTGAGGCACCTGAGTGTGTGGTTTGAGAAGATATTTGCTATAGGCTTCCAGGAGCAGCTCTCCCTCCTTCAGTATGTGCGGGAGCGTAGGTCAGCTATGCTCCTTAGTGTGAGTGGAAGTACCTGCTTCTGGAACTTTTCTCAAGCCACGGGAAGCTTTAGTTCCTTGCCCTGTTCATCTGGGAACTAAATTGCATCCTCTGATTCAGAGTTCTTCAGAATTCCCTTCTCTTCATCTCTTTTTCACTGCTTGCTAGCACTCCATCCTGGAAAGCCTTTTTCAGTTCACTCTCTTCCCTTAACAAGGTGCAAGGCATAGTTTTGAAACTCTCTTTATAATAACAGCTTGTCAATCTGTTTACTTTCTCCATTCTGTACTCTTATTTTTGTTGTTATTCTGCCTATCCTTCCTAGTCCTTCCAGTGCTTTATGCTTTTGCATAAACTTCCTATACAGGTGTGTGACTTGAGTTACCATAACTAAATATAAAGTTTAACCACCTTTAAGTGGACAAGTGGTATGCTCTGCCTTATAGAATATTCTATAACCAGGACTGTGAAGACTCAAGGTACCAAAAAATCTTAATAGGTGAAGAACGGGAAGACATGCTAGAGGTGAAGTTTATTATATTGATGTGAGAGAATAACACAGCAAACTGGTGTTGAAATTTGTTAAATATAGAAGTGCATTGCAATTGCAACACTGGGGTGATTTTCTGTTTTATATTGAGTTGTACTTTCCCTGAACTTTAATTCACAAATTGAGTTGGTTTCAGTAATCATAAAAAGCCTTGATGTAAAATGTAGGGGTAATGAAAACTGTTGATTGAATTGCAGCTGAAAAGACATTGAATAGTGAATAACCAGGGTAATTATTGAGTAATTAGATAGAAAACTAACAGTTATGTTGAATTAAAGCAGTTTGCTTTAATGTCTTTTGGGAGTGTAGCCTGTATTCTCTAGTTAGCGCTCGTTTCCTTGATATTCAATATAGATTATTTTTAAGCATGCAGCGTTCTTTTTTGGTGTTGTCACATTAAGTCTGTTAGCAGTTTGCTTAAGAAAAGGTGCAGAATTGTTGGAAGAATGCGGAATTCTTTCTGTGGAAGAATGGAATTGAATTTTTTGTGGTTCTGACAGCACAGGGGAGAAGAGGAAGCATTGCGTCTTCTCAGGGCAATAGTCAAAAGCCCAGAGAACAGTCCTTTAATGACACAGATGGTGGTTACTGTTGGAGGTATACCAGGCCAAAGCTAAATTGTAGTGGTAAAAGACATCATGGATTCCTTCACCTTTTTAGAAGCCATGCAGAGGAGTTTCACTTCCAGGAATAGTAGTGATGCCAAGGTTGGAGAAGGGAGTCTGTAAGGTGCTACAGGCAGTCAGCCACCTTGGGCAAGTGCCTCTAATGTAGGTAAGAATTGAGATGCTACAGCCTCTCTCACTGCTGACTGAGAGGGCATTGACACCGCTAAGGTGCAGGTGTCAGCACCGCAGCTAGTGTCGCATCTGAGTTATTATATACAAAGTCAGTGAAATTCAGAAAGAAGAGAAAAAAATCATACACAATTCCTTTCCTTTGCAAAGTCTGAGAGGTCACACGCTCACAGTTATATTAATATTCTCAATAAATGGGGCAGTTCCATTGAAAATTCCAAGTACTGTTTGTTGTTAGTCGCTTCTATCTCCTTGATTAACTGGCTCCACTTTGAAAGGGGAATCAGTGCTGCTTTCAACCATTGGTTCACAAATAGGCTTTTATACTTTGGAAGAGAGAAACCACAGATAAAAACCCTTTCCCATAGTTCAGTAAAGCTAAGTCCTGCAAACTGTAATAATATAGAGATTAAATAATGCTAAGCTTTTGAAACTGGCGTGTTCCAGTTACTGTCGTACAGCCCTTCTGATAGTCCTGCCATTTTGTAAAAGCTGCTGGTATGTATTCTCTGTACTGTCGGATTAATGGATCTGCACATTTTCTAATGAGTTGTTAGAGCTCTCTGTAATAATTTTTTTGCTGTGTAGGAGCTCTGCACATGAACCAAACATTGTGGTTTGTCCTGTACAAATGTAGAAGTGGAAGTCTGTTGTTAACGTTCAGTTGGAGGAAGTGAGGTGAAAAGGGGAGAAGGAGAATGCTGCAGTATCTGATGCAGTATTATAAAAATGCAACCTTTGTTTCACTGGGTCATTAGTAATAGGAGCCTCTCTGTAAGTGGAGAGTTTCATTATTTAAGTATCTGTTTATAAATTTTATTATTTTATCTGAGTTGTCAGAACTTGGGAGTCTGTTATAGACCACCCAACC